GATCCTGTGGATACTGCGAAGCTATGGCTTGACTATGGGCGTGATTTCGACGGCGCGATGAGCTGGGAGAATGTGCCTAGATCGGATGGGCGACGGATCCTCGCGGCCATCTCAAACAGCTACGGAGCCAGTCCACCAACTAATACCTGGAAAGGAATGCTCTCATTCCCTCGGACTCTGGCGCTGCAACAGACAGGTTCTGTGCGATCCTTTTTTCAGTGGCCTGTCAGTGAACTTCTGACTGTAGGCTCTCCTGTAGCAACTATTCGAAACCAGACAATTACCCCCGACCAGGTCCTTCTCTCATCTGTCGTTGGGACCGCATTGGATATCGAGCTTGCATTCACCGCACAAACAGACGCGGCTTTGTCATTAGCAGTTCGAAAGGCCGGATCACAGCAAACAGTTATCCAGTACAAACAGTCCACCGCGACACTGTCAGTTGACCGAACGGCTAGTGGGGATACATACTATGACGCTGCAGCAGGCGGTGTCCATAGCGCTCCTCTGCAGCCTGATGCCTCGGGGGTGGTCCGAATCAGAGTACTGGTTGATACCTGCTCTGTGGAAGTCTTTGGAGGGAAAGGGGAGGTTGTTATTTCCGACCTTATCTTTCCGGATGAGACAGCAGATGGCCTAGCTCTACAGGTAAGTGGAGGTTCCGTCATGCTACGGAGTGTAGTGGTGCGGGAGGTCTCTCTGAAGTAGGTCACCGGGGTTAAACAGCACCGGGAATCACGACACCTCTCACGGACGATTTCATGAGAGCATACTTCCCAGAATTCTGGAACTGCTGTATTTAACTACCTCTGCTGATTTCTATGCTTTCATTTGGCGACAAGCGGTGTGGCCGTTGCAGGAGGATAAGGCTCGTCTATCATATTGATGAATAAATCAACACGTTGAGACCGTGTTACAATTGGGGAAGCCAACCATCAAAGTAAACGTGTAGAAGGGCAGCGAATCATCGTAGTCATGTTTATATAGCACCAAAGGACGCGTTGCAGATCCACCCCTTCGTCCGCACACCCGCGGTTGGTTAAACTTGTTGGATGTGTTTCTGCTATGTCCGTCCCAGTGCTATATATGATTTCGCCGCCGACTGTGCCGGACAGGAGAGAATTACTTGAGAAAGGGGACCACGGTGAGCTGTATCTGAAGAAGGCACCACCATTGAGTTGCCACATGCGTTCCGATCCGGGCTGATGTGTTGCAGCTCGTGGTTGCACTAGTTGTGGATTGGGCAGTTGGGATGACGCTGTAGGTGCTGCGTTTGAAGAAATTGTTGGAACAGTAATTCATGGTCGTTAGCGTGCCTCACCACTGAAATAGAGAGAAATCTTCACTTGATCAGCTGCCTATTTGTATTTTGACAACCCTTCTTGGTAGGCTACCGGTGTTATATATTGTCTTCAAATACTGCTGAACGTCTGGAAAGGCCCCTCCTCCGTGTCGATATCTGCGCCTGGTGAGTTCTCGCGACCAAATCTCAATTCTACGTCTTTCTACTGTCTTTCTTTCTTTTCCTTTTTCCCTTTGTCACGGACGGCGCGTCAGGTTTGGTGTGAGCTGATTTCTAGTCAGGGAGTCTTTCACCCTTCCGCTCGTTGAATGCCACAAGACTTCCATACATTTACCCAGATCTATTCTCCGTTATTAACGGTTATCCCGAAATCTCTCTAAGAGGAAATAGCCATTCAAAAAATGGCCCAACGGAAGCCGCAACTGCAAACTGGTCACAGTTAAGTTAGAAGGGTTCCGGGTTATACTTGCCTTATGCTTCTCAATCTTCCAATGTCAACGATCTGTTCTCTCAACCGTACTGTTGCCTAACAGGCCTTATTGCAGCGTGGGTCCTTTTAAGGTTATCGAGGAACGATGCCAGGTAGAGCGCCGAATAGATCTATACCGAGGTATTGGTCTATTCGTGAGTGTTGTCAAGTTATAATCAAGTAAAGAGTCATATAGTAATCCAAAGGTAAACACAAGTAATAATGTATGATTGAAGACGAAGAACTAAACTAGATACATGGATGAGTGTCCTTATATATCCTTCGCTTCCTACTCCTTAATCTACCCCAGGGGGGTAGGCATTAGAGTCACTATATACTCCTGGATATACTCCCGCGGAGTAGATTAGACGTCATTAAAAAACATTTAGAGGGCGGAGGGCGGGTAACGACCAGCTCTCGCCCGACCCTCCGCCCTCATTGCATAAAAAAGTCGACCTTTCCTAATTTTAGACGTATAAAACTGCTAAATCATCTTAATAAATTACTGAACACTTGTTCTGGTTTGAATATTAGTTTTATAATCTATTTCTTTATTAGTATTAAGAAATTTTAAGAAATCAAGTTATATTATAATTAATCGTAGTAGGTAATAGTGTTATTATAGATTTTTAATCTCTTTAAGAAAAGTAGTGGTTAGTAATTTTAAAGTTGCTAATCCTATAAGATGAAGTTAGAGAAATATATATTTATAGTAGTACTTATATCGTGTATACTTTCCAGGTAACAACTCTCTTTTAATTTTTATATTTTATCTATAGGATATTAATCTAGCTATTATATAGGACTTGTGGATAGTAATATGATTATTTTATTAAATTTTTCTACTACTAAGCTGTAAACAGAATACTGAATAATACCGCCGAAACCTGCATACTTTATGCATCTAAGCAGATTTCCATGTTTGTCATGTTTGTCGGCCCTCAAAATGTCTAGACGGCCGCCGTCGGAGGGCAAGAAAATAACCCGCCCTCCGCCCGCAAAAGTGCGGGTCTGCGGGCGGGTTTGAGGCCTAGAGTAGATCGTGGAGTCAAGGTCACGTGATCCTACCGGCCCTAGATCGATAGGTTCTAATGGGCCTAGATCACCTAATCTGATGATAGATAGGTTGGTTGGCTCTTGGTGGCCTATCTATGTAACTAGGGTTACCATCGATTGGTAACTAGCATGTCTATAATATCTAGGGCTTTCGTCCTCGAGGCTTATAAAGCCGCGATACCCCTAGGTGGGTTTTCTCCTTCTTCCGTAATGTCGCCTTCTCAATATGCCTATTTCTAACGAGGTACGTAAGAAGAACGGGCTGCGTTAGTATAACACAATTTTGACGACGGGTTAATTGTCGATACTCCGTGTGAGCACTGCTCGAATAACTTCGTTGACTGTCTCATGGATTCGAAGAGTCAAAACTGTGCAGAGTGCACTCGTCGTGGTCGCAAGTGTGTGAAGCGTTTTCATAACGATCGTGAGTTGGAATCGTTAGAACGCGATCGTTAGAAAGCGGCCCTGGAATTAGAGCAGGCCCAAAAAATAATGGCTTGAATACTCCCAACAAATGAATCACGCGATGTCGAAGATCCTTCGCCTGCAAAAACAACAACAGTTTCTTAAGGATCGTGGTGGTCAATGCTAAATCATGACTCGGTAGTTCTGGAACAGTTGGATGCTGAGAATCCTTCGTCTATCGACCCTCTATCTCCTTCCTGAATAGAAAGCCAGCGTCCACCAGTTGGCTTTGGCGCTTGATGACACGTCTAAGGAATCATTCCGCGTATGCGAATGTGATTTAAGAGCAGGATGCAGTTGAATCTAGACTACCTGCATATGCATTGTCAGGTCTGTCACAGGCTGGTGGAAGATGTTTTCAAATTGAAGTATCAAGGAGTATACGCCTGCCAAGAACCCGATGTTTCAAAGTCTGGCTGGGCGGCCTATAGTCCTTCTGACCTCGCCTCTTACTTTTATTGGATAACAGAGTTGAGGATAGCCTGCGAATGCCGTTCACTTGGATGGTACTTACGTAGTCTGCCCGGTGCTTCTAAGAAAACCTAACGACTTCCACGGCTTCTAAGGCACCGGCACTATCTCGTATTTAGCGGTTAGGTAGACCAAATATCCATTTCTTTTCTTTCGATTTCCCCAGAATTGGAGGCTAAGAGAGAGCGTCTGAGAGTTTTATATGTATAAGCAACTGAATTCTCCATGCTTGATTGGTCCGAAACTATTATCTCCCTGCAAATAACGAAACGCCAGTCCACCCTTCAAGCTGCCTTGAATTGGAGCCCAAATCACACATATCTCCCATGCACTCCATGTTGGCATGGGCTAAACCAGCATGTGGCATTTGATTCGTCCGTAATACACCCCCTCGAATGGATAGTCGTCGATGCTGTCAAGTAACGTTTTCATTTCGTCGCCATATCCGAACGTCGACCACAGATCCCATAGCGCTTATGTCCAACATTTCGTCCACCCGGGAAAGGCGTCGTACTAATCCACAATTGGCCATGCTTCAAGGACCTTCACATATCGTAATTCTTTGTCGATATTTGGGCGGGCTGGGGTCGAGTCCCTACCTCTTCTAACATTTGAAAGAGAGATATGCGAAGGCTAGAATAACTATCATCCAATTTATTAGAATAAAGCCGTAAATAGGTGAACGTATCATCAAAAATCGAGTAACCTGGTATATCTGTAAGGTATAAGATCTCTATCGGCAAGTGAAACCATGATTAACTAACGCCTGCTATTATATAGGGGGATAATATCTCCAAAGCCGCCCCTGTTCGGCATTTATGGGAAGAGGTGAGGTGAGCACTAAAAAGGGAAAGCCAAGTTTTGCCAGACATTACATGCATATATACTTTTATATGTAAAGTGATATGCTCTGCTGGTTAAATTAAATATGTATTAACTACATATATAATGCTATTTGCAGGATCATTGAAATATATCCTTCATTACGGGAGAAAGGCGGCCGCTTCTCACATCAGAAGTGGTCATTTCCGTAAGTATACAGATCACGTGCTATCGTGATTTTCCCAACGCGATCCGCGACAGTGAAGGTCCCACTTTGATCTGACTGACTCAAGCTTTATTCATTCTTCTCTGAACATATTATCTTTTCTTTGAGTTTGCCGTGAGATACCTTGCTATATGAGCCCGACAATCTGCCTTCTGATCCGTTCTGTCCTGCCATTTTGACCACTCGCAATGCCACCCCGCAAATCAAAGAAAAAGCAGACGCGACTTGCCTTTGCTGCTTCCACAGCTTCACCTTCAGTGGGTGTGAGCCCGGAGCAAAGCAACCGATATGCGACACTCACGTACGACAACCCAAGCTTGGGCACATACCGTCCTCCAAAGTCTCTCAAAAGCAAGCCGGAAACTTCGCCCGAGAAGAAACGGCCGAAGCTCCCCGCCAAGAAGAGGTCCAATGACAGACCCGCGAGTACGGTGATGCTCTCTATCCTCAGTGCGACTAGAAAGCTAAGATCCAAAAGACCAACTGTGTATAGAAGATCAATCGGGCGATGAATCCTTAGATCAGCCTATCGTCCCCGCCTCCCAGAAGAGAAAGCAAGCCGCGCCGCCCGAAAACCTCGACCCACCAAAGCTCGACGAACCGCAAGATGCGAAGAAATCCCGCTCGCGAAAATCACAGCGGTCCTTACGATTCTCAAAGACACAAACCGAGAACATAAATGAGTCAGGTTCGGGGGAGCTATCCCAGCCGCGTCGGACACTCAAGCGAAAGGCCGCAAGCCCACGGATTGACAGCGACTCGGATGAGCCAGTGGCCTCGGTAGCCAGACGGCGCAGGTCTACCCGAGGTGGTCGTTCCTCAAGCTCGCCTGTTATACTCAGAGATGATGATTCAAACGAGTCAGTGGTTCCTTCGACCGCCAAGAGGCTCAGGGTAGCGAGGCCAGCCGCTGTGTCCAAAAGTGATGATGATGACTCGGACGACCCAGTGGCCTCTTCGCCAGTGAAGAGGCTTCGACGTGGACAGGAGAAAGAAACACCCCAAGCTCCCCACAACCCGCGCCACATCTCGGAACAGGCCAGACTTGATATCGCAGAGGATTTGGAGGACCTTCAGGATTCAGGTAGGAACCAATTGGCAAACGAGGCTCGTTTATTTATGCTGATGCCATTCATGCGTAGTTGTTAAGAAAAGTCGAACTCGCGGCCGGAATGTCGAATCTGCTCGAGACAAGAGAATGAAGCATCTTGAAGCCCTCCGGCGCAGACGGGCTGGTGTGAAAGATGAGGAGGAAGACGACGACGAAGAAGAAGATGATGATGATGACGAATACGATTCAGATGTGCAGGAGATTAAACGACCTGGCAGCGATGCCAGTCCCTCTGGTCGTGGTCTCTGGCGGCAACACGACGGTGACAGCGACATAGAATCAGATATCGACCCTAACGAGAACCTTGATCGGTATGAAGACGACTTCGTCCTCGAAGACGAGGTGAACGACCTCGGCGTGCCCACCGAGGAGATCCCTTTCGAGTTCACCCGACATGCATATAAGCAGCCGAAGGAATACTTCCGCGACGTCATCGGCTGGATGGTGCAAAACAAACTGAACCCGGCCTTCCCTCGCTCTGACGACATGTACAAGATGGCATTCATGAAGCTGGAAGATGAAGTCAAGGGTCGGGCTGGTTCACAGCTGATCTCCTCCGTTTGGAATCCCAGTTTCGTCTATGCACTCCAGGCCCGGCCGCACATGGAAATCTCCGCCTTCCCCACGGAGGAGAACCATCCCTGCGATGCTTGCAGGCGCTCTGGACATCCCGCTTCTAGTGATATGAAGCTCTACGGGAAGGCGTATTCCCTGCAGACGCTGGAGCCGCTGGAAGATGAGAATGATGACAGCGATGACAGTGACGACGGTTCCAATAACCACGATGGAAAGGATCGGGACCGGGATGGCCATGTCATTCCTCCGGAAAATGTCCGGTATTTCCTGGGAAAGTAAGTGCGGATTGGACAGTCATCTCAATCGAGCACACCCTCTAACCGGTTCTTTTTGTTTCAACAGACAATGCAAGGCGAGAGCCCAGCTCGCCCACACCCTCACCCACTGGCGTTACCATCTCAATGAATGGGTCATCGATTTCCTCGAGCGTACGGGCCATATGGATGATCACGAGATCCTTCGACGAAATAATATGAGCGTCAAGCGGAAGACGCGAAATGCGAATGATGTCCTCGACAGTATGACTGGAAGTGGTGAAGTCGACAAGCTTTGGCGTGACTTCCACATTAATCTCAAGTCTGCTCGCGAGAAAGAGGTATGTTCTTGTTGTGTGTTTCGTTTCTGGACTTCCATGGTGCTAATTGTCTTTATTCAGTCTATCTACGGATGAGTAGATGATCATACCGAAGAGCCAGTTCACCCGAGGTTCAGTACATGTCCTCGAATGGCTTTATCATGAACTCCCATGAACACTACGACCCTTGTAACTAGTTTTATGACACTGACATCGCTCTCCATTTGCGAAGTTTCTCCGGTGCTAGACCTTCTACAATGATACCCTTTTCTTTTCTTTGTTTGCACATACTCCGTTATTTCCAGTCATGTCGGTAGCCTACCAAGGCAAGGACCGTGGGTCTAGCATAGCGATGGCAAGCTATCTTCCAAGAGCCTACTTACTATCTAATTCAATGCAGTTCTAGGTATTCGTAGGCCTTCTTCTCCTGGACCTGTAAAAGGGCTAGGGCTACAAAATGCGAAGATAACCAAACCCATCCGTTTTCATTACCTGGACATGCACATGGGGAGGGAAGAAAAAAGGTATAGAGAAACAGGAAGAAAGATGATTGGGGTTGTACAAATACATGCATGCATAAGCTGCCGGAGCCAAAATGTCAGAAAGCATGAGAGATGCGAGGAGAGAAAAAGGGAATTAAAAAGACAAGAAGTATAACAAAGATCCGAACAAGCCAAGACGAGAATCGGAAACCAACTCCTTCCGAGTGCTTTTAGTCCTGTTTCTTGAGATCTGGCCAAAATAGGTGATTGGAAATCCCAGGACTTAATAGGAATCACGCCGACATCCGCTCGGGCGTGCTGTTTTTCAGGGCACCAAGTCTCAAGGTCGATAATCGTGTCGCTGGATCCTTTGCCAATCTCTCTACTTTCCGAAGTGGTATTAATTTACAGAGTGGGTTGAGCCACCTTCTCGGGTTCGGAGCCGGGGGTGAGCATCTGCGAGTAGGAATCATAATCAGTATAACGTTTCAAGAACTGGTAGTTTGCCGAAGACCGCGAGAATGGCATGCGATGATAGTGCTGAGAAAGAGAAGAATTTTGAAGATTGCCGAGATGCGAATACCCGAGGCAATGTACACGGTGTCAAGTGTGGCAATGATAGCAGGAACCAGGGATTCAAGATGGATGTTGCACTTTCGATAAAACCAAGAAAATAAAACAGAAGAGAACAAAAGACACATACCTCGTTAGCTCCCTTGATCATTCCCTGCTCGCGCTCCATCTGGATGTACTGCTCCTCCTCGGCGTAGGCCAAGGCGAATGGCACACCAAGTAGGAAAGCACTGGTGCTGATAACCCAAAGGGCCTTGCCGCTGAACGAAAAGGTGGCCTTGGTAAGGTCTGTGATGGAAGAGACGGTGCTGGAGACGGTGCGGCGGGCGGAGGGGGGAACCATGTCTTTCAGAGCAGCGACACGCTCGTAGAGTGACTCGGCCTCGAGCTCGACATCCTCATCGTCGGAGATCTCGGAGTCTGTTGTTCATTGATTTCCATGTTAGATAGCGTTCTTGATGATTATTTGCGATTGATGTGTTTATTTCTGGGTTTTCGAGGTCGCGTTGTTGAGGGATTGGGATTGGGGACTAGGTTGATAGGAGGAAATTCAGGGAGCACAGTATCCTCCCATCGAAGCAATTTCCCATGCGAATAACAATGGCGCGGTGCGAGTTCCGTCTGGGTACGGGCGTTCGGGATTCGGTACTAACCAGTGTCTGAGTAGTCATCCTCATCATCAGAGACCAGGAGAGCGTCGTGCTTGGGGGCAGTGGGCTTGTCGGTGAAGTGCTCGTCTTCGACTTCAGTGAGTTTGACCATTTTGGGCGGTTTGGATGAGAATGACAAAGGGGGTCTAGTTAAAGGTGATGGTTGAATGATGGGAGGACGCTCTGGTTTCGCTCCGACTTTTTTGCCGAAAAGCGGCGAGGAGCTTGGACCCACCGCCAACGATGTCATTTGCTTTTGGCTAGTGATCGTATGAACGGATTGTCTGTGAAAATGTGAAAGGGTGAATGGATAGAAAAGATAAAAGAACGGAAAGCCAAGTTGGGAAATGCTAGGTGTTCATATAAACCTGTTTTAAAAGAGAGGTGTATTCTACAGAGTCGAAATGCTGGCCATAGTCTATAATTACAGATTATCCTCTTGATGCGAACCACTTCACCACATGACCCTTATGTTCGAGACATCCACGCGAGTCCAGAGGCATAAAATCATCTATTTACCGTCGGCCAAGCTTCCACCGGGAAATCCGTTCTTGGATCTCCTCCCAGGGGAAGGTCCGGAGTTTGTAGCCTTCCAACTCGCCCTCCTGAAGCACAACAGTAGGCTTACCAGTGCCCTTGCCCTCGTTGTGGACATCACCACCAAAGACCTTACGAGCCACACGGCGGAGGTCCTCGACAGTGAGGGCCTCAATTTGCTCACACATCTCCCGGACACTGACCTTGCGGCCGTGAACCTGCACCTGCCGTCCAAGATCCTCAAGTTCGACCATGCGAGACTCCAGGTTCATGAGCAGCGAGGAACGGAGCTGGTTCTTCGCACGGTTGACTTCCTGTGCTTGCAGCGAGCTGTAGCCAGTGTCCAAAGTCAGGGACTGCAGCTCACGGCACATGACCTCGACCATCTCCGTGATCCGGGTCGGGCTGCAGGATGCGGAGATTCCGAATATTCCACTATCTGTGTAGCTGTGATTGAAAGCAATGCAGCTCTCTACCCAACCGTGCTGGTTCAGCACGTTAGTGTAGAGTCGCGAGTACATACCCTTTCCAGGGCCACCGGCCGAGAATGAGCCACCACCACCAAGGAGAGTCTGGAGAGTAGCAAGAGCATAGATATCAGGCGAAGAGATGGGGAGAGCCTCGAATGCAATGTGGATGTGACTCAGGCGAGGAAGCATGGGGCTTGCTGGCGGAGGAATCGAAGGCAGGGCAATGAAGCCACCAGTGTAATGAGCAGGTTGGCGGAGGTTTAGCGCGGATGGCTCAACCAGGGATGAGTGGAGAGGCTCTACTGTAGCGTTCTTGGAAGAAGAGAGGTTCTTGAGGAATGGAAGCTTCGACAAGAGCGAAGTGTGTGTTTTTTGGGAAGCAGCTGGGCTGCTGATTGTCGATGAGGGTGTGAAGGAAGGAACGGTCGGCACCTGGCCTTCGTAGGCGGCCGCTCGGGAATCAGACAGTGTGGTTTCGATTCCACTGCCTGACAGTACAGGACCCTTGGTCTTGCTGACATTCGTCGACTTCATGTCGCCAAAGTACTGCTCTGTGAGCTTAACAGCCTCACCGTGTGACACTCCGGCAAACGCAACCACCATCCGATCCGGGTTGAAGAAGAGTTCCCTATACCGCTCCACTACTGCCTTGTTGATTTCGCCTAACCGTTCTTCCGGGCACAATAGCGGGTTTCCGAGGGTATTGTTGGCATAGGCAGTCATGTGCACCAATTCCGGAAGGATGAGTTCTGGCTTCGCCCAGATCTCGCCGATCTCGTACTCCGCTGTTGCGAGCTGTTGGATAACCTCCTCTTCGGTGATGAGGGGATCGCGGATGGTCTCCGCAAGCAAACCTAGCGTGGTAGGAACTGCCGAGTTGAAACTGGCAGACTGATACATCAACGATTCCCGAGATGAGGCACACTGAATGTTACCGCCTAGTGACTCAAGAATCTCAAGCATTTCATCTCCGGTGCGCGCCTTGGTTGACTTGAAGGCTAGACGGTCCATAATATGGCTGACACCGCGTAGGCTCTCATCTTCGTAACGGGAACCGGCATCGACGTAGACTCCGACACCAGCGAAGGGACCCGGTAATGATTCCGTGGCGACGCGAACCCCATTTGGAAGTGTGGTGATTTGTTCTAGTTCGGCGGGATCCTGAGATAAATAAACGGTTTGTCAGTTACCAATAGCGTTATGTTGCAGGAGCTAACGAGGCTCTCTTACCTTGGCCGAGTCATTGATGGTAGAGAGGCCTCTTGACACGGCGCGAGGAGCTCGTGTCAATGGCTTCGCGGACTCAATGGCCCGCAATGCTGTGCGGCGCATGATGGTTGATTCTGTACAATTCAAGAGCCTGGTTAATTCGGGATTCTTTGGTCACCGAATATATCCGGAAGAGGTGATGTAGCTCGGACGGGTTGTCGGCGAAGAATCGTAATGGAGCCTCGATCCGAAATGCTTAGCTAATCCGTTTCATGGTCCGAGGACGGCCAGATGTTCTTCTGTGACATAGCAGATTGAAGTGGATAACTAAATCTTTGAAGGTCGAATTATTAATGTTTCTGAAAAGAAGCTGTGTTCTATCAATTCTTTTGTCATCCATTCGTGCCTGGACGCAGCAGGGCTACCCAGGTGCAGGCGTCTAGTCCGCTTACCCCGGGGCCAAGAACTGCATGGCTCGAATATGTACTCATGAATATGTGAATGTGGAATCTTGAAAAGATTTAACCCGTAGCGAATAGCAATGAATCATCAATTTCTCTAATAATGTAGGATTGAATAACTAAGGGTGTTCCGAAGCCCAGTTCCTATACCAATCAAGACATGAAGCATTCGCAACACTCGCACCAATCTTGATGTTAAGCCCACACAAAATCTGCTTGACAGCATTCTCAACCTTCTTGCCATTGGAAGTCACCGGAATCTCGGGACATGCATCAATAATGCCAGGGACATGGCGGGGACTAAGTTCCTTCCGGATAGTGGACTGAATGCGTGCCGCGAGATCCGCTGGCATCCCGGACTCGTTGCCAGAAGCAAGCCGGACAAACAGAATAACCGTCTCGTCAGTGTCGATCCCATCTCGCCTCCGACCAATGCAAAGAGAATCTTCCACATCGTCGGCGAAGTGCTTAAGTAGAATATTGTAAATCTCGGCACTTCCGAATCGCACTCCGGATGGCTTGAGTACGCCATCGCTGCGGCCTAGCATGACCACACCTCCAGTTTGTGGGTTCAAGCGCACGTAGTCTCCATGGTGCCAGACTGAGGGCCCGAACACATCGAAGTAGCTCTTTCGGTACTTCTCCAACCCTGTTGGTCCCGGGGGCCAGAACATGACTGGTTGGGCAGGGAAGGGTGTGACGCAGACAAGATCA